GAAATAGAGCCAGCCTTCTGTGGACCATAAAACCCCTGAAACCATCAGCCCCTAAATAAGCCTTTTCCTCCTAAAATGTTCTGGTCAGGTCTTTTAGTCACACCAGTGAAAAAGCTGGCTAAAACAAATACTTAGAGGTTAAAGGTGGGTGGGGGAATGTATAGCAGTCACAATTACTAAAATCTTGGCCTTACCTTACCAAGAAAGTCCCTTCAGGAAATTCCTATAGTAAGACTCTGGACCACATCTTTTCATTGATGCTAACTTTCCAGTATCAAGTCTATATCTTCTCTCTTCCTGATCACTTTACCACAAACGTAATGGTCTAATTTGACATTCACCTACAAAATTCAAAACAAGTTCTGAAGTTCATTTTCTTCATGTGCCTCAATTGTTTCATATACTTAAATGATTTTATTTTATATAATACCCATGTGTGTTAATGGTGTGCCTATGCAGATGTATTTTTGAGACTAGAATGGACTAACAAAAATTATGAATGAATAGATACAAATCACTTTTGTAGTCATATCTGTACCTGAAACTTGAGATGGCATCCTTACTTTAAGAAATTTTTTCATCTTCATTCTTAAAATGTTGTTCCCAGGTAAATATTCAAGTTTCTGAGATGAACACTAAATTTCTGCAATGGGTGTTGTTGTGTATAAGGGGAAAAAAACATGGGAATGTGAAATGTGGATGGATAAAGTCATAACATAACTCATCTTAATATCACTATAGGTACAAGATTCATTATAATTAGCATTTTATAAAGCACAAAGTCACATATTATTAACCACTGAAATATAAAACTGATATTCTAAATAGAAGAATATCAGTGATATAATTTTCTTTTTTATTATCATCTGCAAATTTATAAGAAACTGGTTGTAACTTTTAAAAGGAAAATCATGAAATTATTGTTTTCACTTCATATTTTCCTATCCTATTCGTCTGAACACTAAATGTATTGCAGTGTCTCTCTCTTTAAAGGAACTGTAACTAGGACTTCCCTTTACTCTTTTCCTTTGCAACTAGTTAAACCTATTACTCATGAAAAGAATGAATATCAACAATAATAACATATCCATAGTTACTTTCATTGACGTACATAAAAATGAGAGTTAATAGGTTAGATACCAATTAATTATTCAACATTTATATTTCCATCAAAAATATATGTTTGGTCCAGTGAGAAGTAAATTTGCTTGCTCTGTAGAACACATAAATGAAGAGACTCCTTAGTATGCACCCACTAACTTTACAGAGGATTTTTGTGATTATGCTACTGGAAATCAATTTCAGAATGTCTCTCTGAGGAGAAGAAGTCTGCATACATGGGTTTCTTGTAGTTGCAATCATCTGGAAATCTGGAAAAAGAAAATGTATATATATGATCTTGGTTCTAGTCCTGTGATCTAATAAGAAATGCTTGAGTATGAATTTGGAAGCCAAATAAATCTCAGAATTGTTAATTTTAGAAAATTCAAGCTTTAAAAATATTTTTGAGATTTTGCTAAATCTGTGTCCTCTTATGCAAAAAAAGAAGAAAAAAGATTCTTGGACAAACTTGGAGATTTTTTTTAAGTATTAGAAAATCAAAGGGAAAGATGCTTTTTACTGTCAAATTCTATATGTAATTGATTGCATGTCACTCACTGCCTTAGAACAATTATTATAGCAGTATCATATCTCTAATAATTTATGAGCATTATATATTAATTCTGAGACTAGAAAGATTTGATAAATCTGATTAATTTTAATTTTATGAAGCATACTACTATAGAAACAGCTTTAATCAATGACTTTTTTTTTTGTTTTCCTGCAGCAATAAAAAAATGCTCATTTAGGGATTTTATTTCTACTGTCTCTAGTCCTCAAACACTAGTGTTAGAGACTTGCTGGTTTTGCAAGTGGTCAGAGATGGCAAGCCACAATCACTTACAGGCAATTTGGTCTTCATTACAAATTAATGAAGTGATAATTGCTCTGTGCAACCTTTTATGTGCAAAGCATGCTGGTGTTGTTTGCATTATCTTCTTGTAATTTATACCTCCACATTCAGGGACTTGTGATAGCTTGCCAAAGTTAAACTACAATGAGAGCTCCATAATTAAAATCATATCTTACATCAAATTATGATAATCTCTACATAATGTGCTCTGTTTGATGTCTGGGAGAATGATACTTATAGCAGAAGAAATTTGCAAATGATTCATCAGCCAAAATACAAACTCATCAATTCTTACTCGGTAATCTTGACTTTAAAAATGTAAAGTCAATCGGTTTATTTTCATATACCAGTGTCTTGATCTATTTTCTGTGAGAGGACCACAGAAGGCATTTATTCTCTGAAGGTTTTGCTAGCTCTGTTCTCATGATGCCATTGTAAAACCAATGTAGAGATGACTCCACAAGCACTCACTTTTAACACCAGAGATTTTGAAATACCAAACCTGTTCATTTCCTTTTCTTCCTTATAGAGAACTTAGACTTCAATTTTTAATTTGAATGTAACATTACCACTGTAGGTACCTCAGTGTAAAAACCCTTACATCAAATACTTTCCTTGTACAATTTCTTCTGAAACCTTCCTATAAAATGCATTATAGACTTAATATTTGAAAGTATCATATTGGTGATTATTAAAATATGATGTGAATATTTTTCTTGATTATAATAAGATACAGTTATATCATGTATATTATTTCTAGGCTTTCCTACAACAGTCCCAATTGTTACTTTGTTCAACTGAACTTACATTAAAAGATGAAGTTGAGTCGATTTTTGCCTCAAGAAATAAATGCCTGTCTTCTGTCCTAACTCCTAGTTAACAAAGGATATTAAAATATTTTTTACTTATTTTGTTTGTAAATTGGTAGAAGAGCTTGGGAGACTTAGAAATTTTTAAATTGTGTTCTATACACTGATGAGATCCACAAATTATTTTTAATAATTCAAACACCATAACGTAGAAAACTTATTTATCCCTTAATGAAGTTTAAAGGTCAAATAAAAGCCATGTTTCTTTATTTGTTATGCTCATCAATTTGATAAATTAACATTTTATCTCATCTTTTTATTAGAAGTCATAGATTGAAACTCCTATGTGTTGTTTAAATATATAAATAGAAACACTGTATATAAACTTTATATGCTATTGATTTAGTTAGCATATTTTTAAAATTTGCTTTTGCTGATGAAAATTAATAGTGGGAGAAAAATTAGGAACATATTTATAATAAACTTTAAAAAGATTTTATTTATCTATAAAACGAAAGCATTTTCTAATAAAGAAATTTATGTTGTTTTACTTCCATAAATGGTTTATACATATATAAGAAGAATAAATCAAATTTTACTTATTTTCCAAAAGGTTAAATTATTCTGCTGCATATCATGGTAAATGAAGAGGTCAAAATTGGAAAGTACATATAAAATTAAACTAACCTTAGTACATATTTTGAATCAAATTTGAAATGCATAGGGTAGTTAATAAGAACTGTATAATAGAAAATTATTTTCTATGAATGGCATGGATATGAAATGCAAAGAGAAGAAAGCCTAGTTCAGTGAAGTTGTACCATAAAAAAAGAGAATAAAAGACAGAGGATCCAACATAGATCCCCAAAACAATAACAGTGTTACTGACAAGAACATAGGATTGACAGAAGTGGAACTTATTATTTACTCAATTTATTCAAACTTTTAGAAAAATTAACATATTGGTTGGGATCATTTTTGTTTTTTAAGAAGTGCAGATGCTAATATAAAGAGGTGATGGGGAGCCATAGAAGACTCAAATGGAGAAAGACATTATTTCCTGGAAGCAGTAGGCAAAATAAGACATGGCAAAAAGAAAATGTAGACACAGGATAATAGTTGAAAACAACTGGTATAAAAGTGTTTGGACCATAAGTATCATATAAAACTACTATGCTAAATTAAAAGCTTCTCAAAATCTGTCATAAGGATCCCAAAAAGCACTCTTGGCTGTTTTGAAATCTTGAAACTTTTAATGTCTTTTTACAGTGAGACAAGAGTATAATTTTAGCTACTGCAACAATACTAACCAAACCAAATTATGTTTCTTGACTATGTAAATGTTCAATGTGGATAAAGGTCATTAAGAATTGACATATTCACTACACTGTGTCTTTAGTTTTTCATGCAGAGAAATGAGGCATATTTATAACTTGCCCAAGATGGACACATTGGAATGATTGAATACCTTTAAAAATGTCATGCATGAAGATACACAGTAATGACATAATTTAGATTCACTTCATTTTTTCATACATTAAAGTTTATCACAACCTTGCCCATACTGGGAGAAGATTAATAATAATGAACTTTTTTTTTGTATTGGGGATTGAACCCAGAGGTGCTTTACTTATGAGCCATTTCCACAGCCCTTTTTATTTTCAATTTTGAGACAAGTTCTCACTAAGTTTCTTAGAGCATGACTAAGTTGCTGAGGCTGGCCTTGAACTTGTGATCTTCCTGCCTCAGCTTCCAGAGTCACTGGGATTACAGGCATGTGCCACAGGGCAGGGGTAATAATGATGGACTTTTGTAAGATGTATTTTCCATGCTTTTTTCTGAACAAACAAAAGCAAAAATATACAACAAAACCATAAACCATAACATAATGTCACTGTAGACAATTCATTTTGAGAGTTTTGATCCTGAATGTTTGGCTAGGCTCCATCAATTGCTAAGTGACTTTTTCCTGAATATCCAATAAAGTGCAGTGCAATTCAAGTGTGTTCATCCAAATTATAAATTACTTGTGTCACTGAATTCATAGAACCTTGTAAATTATAAAAAAATACAAACTAGACAGTTATGGAATTGCTCTACATCAATTAAAATAAGCAATATAGAAGGGTCTGCTGATTTTCTCTAGTTCCTGTGATGTCTTTGAGAGCTGGTCTTGCATTTATTATTCATTATGCTTAGTTCACTAACTCTGCCTATCTTTTTCTTTGATTCTTCAGTGGGAAGAGATCAGTGGTGTTGATGAACATTACACACCCATCAGGACTTATCAGGTGTGCAATGTCATGGATCATAGCCAAAATAATTGGCTGAGGACAAACTGGGTCCCCAGGAACTCAGCTCAGAAGATCTATGTGGAGCTCAAGTTCACTCTCCGGGACTGCAATAGCATTCCACTGGTTTTAGGAACCTGCAAGGAGACTTTCAACCTGTACTACATGGAGTCTGATGATGATCATGGGGTCAAATTCCGAGAACATCAATTTACAAAGATTGACACCATTGCAGCTGACGAAAGTTTCACACAGATGGATCTTGGGGATCGTATTCTTAAACTCAACACTGAGATTAGAGAAGTAGGTCCTGTCAACAAAAAGGGATTTTACCTGGCTTTTCAAGATGTTGGTGCTTGTGTTGCCTTGGTCTCTGTGAGAGTGTACTTCAAAAAGTGCCCATTTACAGTGAAGAATCTGGCTATGTTTCCAGACACAGTACCTATGGACTCCCAGTCTCTGGTGGAGGTTAGAGGTTCTTGTGTCAACAATTCTAAGGAGGAAGACCCTCCCAGGATGTACTGCAGTACTGAAGGCGAGTGGCTTGTGCCCATTGGCAAGTGCTCCTGCAATGCTGGTTATGAAGAAAGAGGTTTCATGTGTCAAGGTAAGAGCCTTCCTTCTCTTTCCCTCATGATGGTATTTCTTACCTGTGAGTTCATTAAAACATAGCAAGAGGAAATGAACCCAGTCTGTGTTCACTTGCCAGCAAAACATGAGTAGAGTCTATTTGAAGACTAAGATATATCTCTCTGTATATATATATCTTGATGTGTATATTCCTAGTTTGTGCAGAAATATTAACATGTTTGATTATGTGGTGCTGGCCTATACCCCCTAGGGATGTCCTATGTTATATCAAAGTTTTTCGTATTTGATGATATATGGTAGTCTAACTCTGTACCAATTAAAAGAAAAAAGCTTTGTCTTTTAGGCAACAAAATTAGATATACTGAGGACTATATTTATACTTATTAATCTCATAGTAAAACTATTTAATCACAATAAAATATGTGTTTTTTTCCTAGTGACATATTGCTATCAAATAGGTATTTATATCATTATTGCTGTAAGGAAAATTATTTATATTTAAAAATCTAGGGCTGATTCAATAGTATTTGATGCACAATTTTTATTTTTAGTTGAGGTATGATTTTTAAAAGTTTATTTTGCTCCATTATTTGTCCTTTTTTATTGCCTAGCATAATATCTGTGTCTCTCCTCAGTTGCAATGCATATTTAATATTTACTATAGTACAAGAGAAGCTGAACTCTATCATCAAATTTGATTTTTATTAAAAATAAGTTTCTACTTGATATAAAATAAAAGTTCTTCTTTATGCAAAACTATGTGTATCAGATGTGATATAGCAAATCATAAATTTCAAAGCTAGACATTTATCATTAGGCAAGATTTTAGGCTTGAAGATGCTGAAAACATTATTTGTATTTTAAATGTATAAATATAGAAGAGAACCTTAGTACATAGCTTTTGGAATCTTGCTATTTTAATACTTTGTATTTCAATTTGTTAAGGGAATAGAGTTTAAAAGTCGCGTCAAGGTCATGGCCATTCAGTAAGTCACTTTTCTCAAGGCCATGTCAAAGAGGAAGAATATATTTGATATATAACTTCTCCTATTTCAAATGCAAACAGAACATAGCATAGAACTATGAACATGGTTTGTAGGAATAAATCAAATCAACAAATGGCACACTCTTGCCTCACACTTCTCATTATATTCACCATTAATACATTGTCAGTAAATTGATTTCAAAGGTTTTAAATTGAAACAACATAGTAGCTACTACTTGCTTATATTCATAAACCTTTATACTACACTTTGAATTGTATTTTTTCAATGATGCATTTACTTGTTTTATAAGCTATTTATGAGATTAATTTTAAAAATAAAATCATGAAGACTTACTTCAAAAGCAATTGGAAAGTTGTACAAACAAATATTTAATACATAACTACTTCATTTTATGTAATTTATGGAGAATTCAAATATATATTTTTTTCATTCATTAAGTAATCCCTTGCTAGATGCCAGCACTGCACTGATTGCCAATTAATGTCAATAAGCTACCTCATTTATTTCCAAAGTTCACCTATCAGGGATATACTATGACTATCTCCACTTTAACATGAAAACAAAAGTGTGATAGGTTTATCATCTTGCCTTTCATGTGTAAGTTTATCCTGGAGTTGAGATGAAACCAGGCATCTTGGCTCCAAAGGCTTCAGTCAGTCTCACATTACCCATATGCTTCCTAGGATTCAGTCTCAGTGAGGAAGAGGAAACCCCACAAGCTCAAGTTTGAAGTGTAAGGAGGCCACAAAAAATTGTCACAAAATAGCCAAGAAATCTGTTAATATAACCTTATCTAAGTCACATCTTTTTACTTTTTAGATTTTTTTTTTTAAGAAGGAGCAATTACCAGCCAAAAGATCATTTGAGGGAAAGATTAAGCTTAGACTAGGGTGATATCAAGTAAATTCTGAATATGTGGATTGTCCAGCATCTTATGCAAAACATCCTAGTAAATTTAATTGAATCATTATTTCTTACTATCTGTATCTACAAAGTAATCAAAAGCCAGACACAGGAGAAATATAGATGAATAAGTCATTGTATCTATCTTTAAAGAGATCACAATCTGGTATGAAAGACAGTTGGATACATTAATAATTTTAATTGTAGACAGACCAATAAATCTTCTACAAGAGGTACAATGTGCCTTGTCATTGTAGCAGAAAAAAAACAATTAATTCTCAGGATTTCAAAATTAATCATGGGAATTCATAATTAATTATGGGAAGCTCCTGAGTTAAGAATTTTGGACTCTTTTTGTTATTGCTCTCAGAAAGTTTTAATGTAGGAAAGGTTAACCATCTTATACAACTTATACATTATAGAAGGTAAAATATATAATGAGATTTACAATTTGCTTATTAAATCATTACCTTAAAAATCTCAAAATGAATTGAGGTCCAATCAGATTCCTGTCCTCTGAGTTTGTGCCATAGGAACATCTTAAAGACAATAAAAACTTCATTTCTAGATCATCTTCTCAGTTTAATAACAAAATATTATGAATTCTAATCTAGACAGGTAATTGGGACAGTTAAATTTCAGTAAACTGAATGAACAAAATGTGACAATTTCTACTTGACAAGAATAAAACACATTGATAAAAAAATTTTGTTCAACAATACATCTGTCAGTTTTAGAAAAATTAATGAAAACAAAGCTAGCTTTCTGCAGTGCCAGAATTATAAACATGGAATCATATATCTGCTCTGTATAATGTGAACTTTCACAGCAGGCCAGTATTCCTAAAATAAGAAAAAATATTAGAAAGTATCCATTGACTGTATATATAAATGTTCAATATTTATTAAGTCCCTGATATAGGCTAAGTCCTGTATTGATAATTAGAAAGAAAACAATGAATTCTGTCAATGATATATTAGTTGGGTTTATAATTCAAAAATGTCTATGTGTGTTTGTGTTTTAAAAATATGTTGGTCTCTGTACCTGAAGAATAGATTTTAAACTGATGTGTTAAGCAAAGCTAGGTTAATAATGGTTTAAACTGGAAAACAAGCTACTACCATTATTGGGATAGGAAGTATTAGAATAGGAGTTGATGAGTTATGAAAATTTAAATTTTGTATATAACATGCTTTATTATGTTACTGGTTTTTCTTTTTGTTTTTGTTGTATGGTGAGGGAAGACAGCCACAGTAAGCCAAGAGTAGGAAATGGTGCAACTTTCTTTCAAAGAATGTTTATAGGGAGAAAGTAAAGGGGGGGAGAGAATCATTCAGGAATTGCATGCCAAGAAAACTGCAAACAGGGAAAAAGTTAACTCCAGAAAGATGAAGATTACTTATTAATGTAATTTTGGCAAACTAGAAATGTTTGTGAAAAATAACTTTATGAACTTAAACTGATAAGGAGAAATATGAAGTTTAATAAGAAAGGTAAAAAACAATGTATCAGACTGTGATTGGTAGAAGTTTCTCTAATATATAATTTGTTAAGTACAGCTTCTGTTTAAGTAAGTCATTTCTTATATTTAACAAAAGATGAAAGTGTGGCATCTCTTTTGATTTACCACGTGTATAGCTTAAACCTTATTTGAGCCATGTTCCTTATGTCTGGATCTTGCAGGATGGTAACAATGTGATCAATAACAAGTTAAGTAGTTATTAGAGGAAGTCAATAAAATTCTTTTTAAAAATATTGAAATTTTTAAATATTAAGTGACTTAGTAAACTTAAATTATCTGCCATTTGCTTTCAGTCACTGACAATCAAGATTTTACTTGATTATTTCACCCTTCCCATATCTTAGACACCAGCATAACTCTACTAGTTTTCTCTTCTTAAGATTGAAAAATGTGTAGGGAAATTTTGCATTAATTCCAAGGGAACAACATGATCCTTTTTTTCCCTTATTCTGTTTTATTCCGGCTAATGAATTATGTTATCTGCTTCAGTTTAGTTTGTGAAGAAGGAATGAGAATGCTAATGGCTTTTTATATACCCAATTAATTACATTTGAGGCAGATAGCAGGAGGTTACTATAAATATTCCTGCTTATACAAGCTTTGTTTAGACTCAGTGCACCAAATACCTTATTAATGTCACTGAAGAATCTGTTGCTGTGTGCTTTATCTCTCTACATTCATTGTGGAATGCTAACTTTATTCCTTGTTCTTTTACTTTAGGAGCTTAATAGAAAAGTGTGTTTTGGTATGATGTAGGGAGACATCTAAACTTCTTGATGACTGTCCAAAATTATGTTTGGTTTACTCATGACTTATGATACCACCATCTCTCTCTACTCACCTCTCTGTCAGTTCAGAAACTCTAAAAGCAGCTGTCAAGTTTTCCATAACAGAATGTTTTAAGGATTCTTCTTGCTTTGACAAAGAAGCTAGAGAAAAGCAGAATATTCTCAGCACCTACTGAGTACTGAGTCTGCATGCATAATCACTGGTATCCTTGTGTTGCTTTCCCTAGCTGTGAGCAAAAGGACCTGAAAACAACTTGGAGGAGGTCAAGTTTACATTGCCTCACTGTTTCAGAGATTCAGTCCATGGGAGAGGGTGGGCAGACTCCACTGTCTTAGGTCTGGAGTGAAAAGGAACATCAAAGTGGAAGGGCATGGTGGAAGACAGCTGCTCAGGACATGATCACCAGAAAGCAGAGAGAAAGTCCAGGGTGCATGGGACAAAATATAAACCCCTAAGGCACAGCCCCTATGACCTTATTCCTCCAGCCCTACCCTACCTCCTTACAGTTATCACCCAGTTAATTCATTCAAGTGGACTTCATTGATTAAGATATCATAATCTGTCATTTCACCTGAACATTTTTGTCTCGTCTCACACATGAGCTTCCTGAGAACAGCTCATTTTTAAACCATAAAAACCTTCTAGTTCTGTAAGATGTTCATATGTTTGAATGAATTCAGGACTTCCTTCCATTTGTTGCCAGAGTGTAAATTCCTTGAGGGAAAAGACCACTACTATCCATCTTAGGAACATTGTGCCTAGAACCTAGAAGACTAATTGACTAAGTTTTCAATT